ACCTCATTCCTCACTGTGATGTCAGCATCTCGTCTGTAGCTCAGTGTTAAGTTGAACAGGTTTTCCAGACCTGGTTTCTTTGCCGTGTTCGTGGGAGATTCCACATTGTACCAAATCCACTTCTGAAAATATGGACGTGGCTCCTGAGGCAAGTTGTCTAAACCCCAGGAGATGTCTTTATGATAGAAAATGACTCCATCTGCTTGGCTGTACAGTGATCTGTCAGCAGTTAGTATGCAGCTAGTAATGTTGAAGTGGGTTTCACATTTTTTTAAATCAAACACTACACCAATAGGCCAGAACCACAGCAGGACAATGGGCTTTTCAGCTGGCTCTGGGGCTTCATCAGTTTTGTTCTCAGCCAATGTGGACGTAGGCAGACACAAAGAAGCTGGAGGCTCAAAATATATAAAGAAGGCAACAGTAGAGCAGATGAGGCCAAGAGCAGCTACCTTTGCGAGGAACGAAGTTTTACTGAAAGATGCTCTCATCTGTGAAAACAGAGAAAGAAATTGTTGTGATCATCCATATCATGATCATGGAATCAAACCAGAAAACAGACTTCTACCAAAACGAACAAGTACACTGGCGTAACCTACAAACACTCCACTACTTTTACTTTATTTGTCGTTGTTATTTTGTGTGGAGCTTTTTTTTATCTTTATTCAAGAGCGTGGTCTTTCAGTTTGAGAGCATGACTTATTGCATGACGTATTTATGTTCAGATTGTGTATCGTAATGCACAATCTAAGTACCCTTGCACTCAAATAGCTCCTGTTTGCACTTAGATTTGCTCTGCTTCTGCTCAAACTGTGTGCTTGCACTCAGCTATATTGTTGCTTGCACAGATTTACTGCGCTCCAAGCTTCAGCGCTTCTCCACACTTTGGGCTGCTTTCTGTACACTTGTGAATTGTCTGCTCTTGGACATTTTGGTGAAACAACCCTGCCAACACTTCACCTGGCATTCTATTGGACAGGGAATTTTGAGAGTGTCGTCGCACAAAAAACCTCCAAGAGCTGAGGAGAAATCACAGTTTGAGCAGAAGCAGAGAAAATGTAAGTGCAAACAGAGGCTATTTGCATACTAGTAATACACAATCTGAACACAAAGTCAACAAGTCATGCTGTCAAACCGAAAGTCTGAAAAGCTCCATAATTTTGACATGTTAACAGGACAGAAAGCATCAAAAAATGCTGTTCTCACCTTTCTCAGAGTACCAGCACAAGGTGGGGCTCTTTTATTGTCCAGCCACTTGAGCACTGAAAAAAAGATGCAGGTGCCACTCCTGTGCCAACAGGACAACCCAGTTTTATTCACTGCTTTACACGTTTTCGATGTTTCCTCACATGCCGGAAACGCCACCACATGGATATGTCATGATACACAAAATCAAACACTGCTTGGAACCAAAAATGGAGCGACGCCTGCGAGCTAGTTCAGGCAGCCAATTTGAGCTGAGCTGCTCCAATCACGTGATGTACATCATGTGACATACCTCGCTCTCCACAATCATCTATAACACACACCCACCTTATTAGGCAGTCTATATAAGCAGAGAGAAATGCCCCATCACTCCCTTGGATCGCTCCGCTGCTGCGTCAGTATTGCTGCCAGTTGCTTCAGCGTCTC